AAGATATTTTTTTTTTAAAATAGTTTAATATCTTACTTATCAGAGAAAAGCAGGGTCCAGTTAGTTAAGGTTTCAGTTGTACGTGGAACACGACTTCCTAAGCTTGTCATGCATCAAACTGTTATGGCTGGCAATTGTTTAAAAAAATTCATTTTGTTATGAACTAGCCTGTTTTCAACTGGGCTGTTCAGAGATGGATTGCTTTCTGGAGTTTTTGACAGGTGTAATTGTTAAGGCGTCATCTGTTCTTGTTTGCACAAAATACATTTTAGCCAACTGTAGGACTTGCCCGCTAATCTTTCTCACATCATTCCATTCTTTGCTTGCCACTAGACAAATCCCCTGTTATTTGACCAGATGGTGGAAAATCCATTCTCATGATAAGTTGCTTCTAGTTTGCATTTAGATTACCTGCAAAAATGGAACAATTTACTACTCTGCCTCTAACCATCTCTTTCCTCCTTTTTTCCCTTAGTTTGACTTCTTGTAACTAATTATTTAAATTCTGCCCTGTGAGTTAAAATTAGTCATAGCTTACACGTTCCACATGTATGTAAATGCACTTAAGTTCCACCTCAAGTTGTATGATGAATCCATCTAGAGTTTAGTGACACATAAGGATAGGAAGATGAGCTGTCTGATGTGCAAACACAGCAGCTTATAACCCTTTCACATCTGAGATGATGCTTTTGAACTTTTTAGGGAAAGTATGCACCCTCTAAAAACCAAGGTCAGGTGTGAGAGGCACCCAGCATCATCTTCTTACAGCACACACCCCAAGGAATAGAGGATACAAATATTAAGTGAAATATCATGTCTCGTGCTGTTTGTAGGCATTTTGTCTGCTATGTTTCTAGCTTGTTTGGAAAATAACCTTCTGTACTACAGTTAGTTATAACTTAAAACTCATTTTTGCCTTTATTATTGTGAAGTGGCAACTTTTACTGTCTAAAAGCTGATATTGAGAATAGGTGTGTTTTGTTTCTCAAACCAGTCAAAACTCAACTAAAATCGGGGTGAGCTAACCACTGCAAATTGATCAGACTCAAATACTCCTCAGTGCTCTAATTTTTAATACAGAGAAAAATACAAGAAATCAATTTGAAAGCATAAAATAGAACAAGAATACACAGTACCCAGAGTAAATAGCCAATATACAGTTTTATCTTGAGCTAAATCAATTTTGTATGTGGAACCTTGGAGATATACTCTATCTGCTGACATAATGTGCTAAAAACAAGTTAGCAAAATTTGCTGAAGATTGTCTAAAATTATTTTTTCTTTGGGGGGAGGGGAGGAACAGGACCAAAACCACTAAGACTCATTGTCTCGGTAAACTTTTTGGATTCTACCCAGTAATTCTTGCTACTTGTTTTTGTTTTGTGGGGGTTTTGTTGGGGATTTTTGGGGTTGGGTGTGTGTTTCGAGTTTTTTTAGTAGGAATGCTGAATAAGCTGTTCTGTGAGGTAGTCTTAATTTCTGACCCATTTCTGACCCACAGCCTCATAGTTATCAGATGATAATTAATTGTAAATGTAAATCTATTAAATGACAGCTAAAGTACGTAGGGCATAGGACAGAGGCCAAATGGGTGTGATGGTGTTAGGCAGCTTTTAAATACATAAAATGCAAACATAGTCTTTATTCAGCATAAAAGTCTATTTATGGAAATACACTTACCATGCTAAAATCAACCTTAAGAATAAGAGACAAACATCATACAAGGAAATATAGGATTTTTATTTTTTTTCCAAAGCATTGCTCTAGGTGGTAGCTGCATAGTTAAAAACCTGGTGAGCACTTCAAAATGTATTTCATAGTGTCTCAGGACTGTGTGCTTTTTCAGGTTAAGCACGATAGGCCCCATTCTGTGCTAATTCTGTGCTGTGTAATCTCGATGAAGTCAGTGGGATTTTAAGAGATTTACATCGATGTTTTATTTGACTCAGTGTTTTGGGATAGGATTTATTTTTTTATTATTATTAATACATTTGCAGCAGAGAGGGAATGGAGGAGGGTAAAAAAAACTCTTTAAACAAAATTGTTAGCGAGCATTGTGTAAGGACTGGGTAAAAAAGGTCACAGGATCTTGGCTCCTGAAGTGGAATCCAGCCCTCTGCAGTGCAAAGGAAGACTTACTTCCCTCAGACTAGAGTCCACAGAAGCTGCTGTGTAGTGTATAGAACCTCATATATTGCTTAGGTTAAAAACAAACACAACAAAAACCTCCCCTCCCCTCACCCTCCAAAAAACCTCTTCCATATTCTAATCTCTTCCCCATCTTAGGTTGAGGCACCCGCTTCTGGCTAGATGTAAAGTAGGATTGTGATTCACAGTCCAAAGCTCTAATCTGAGCTTGAATTATGGAATGGTTGAGGTGGGAAGGGACCTCTTGTCCAACCCCTCTGGGTTTGAGAAGCAGGGTCACCTGGAGCAGGTTGCCCAAGACCAGGTCCAGGCAAGTTTTGACTTATCTCCATGGGTGGAGATTCCACAACCTCTCTGGGCAACCTGTTCCACTGCTCTGTCACGTTTGCAGTAAAAAAGTGTTTTCTGATGTTGAGATGGAACCTCCTATGTTTCATCCATTGTCTGTCATCCATTTGAAAAAAGAGCAAGGACTGCCCTTATCATAAAAACAACGAACAAACAAAAGCTTGCTGACAGGTATTCTACTTTAGCTTGAGGCAGTGAATACTTATTTAGGGCCCATTTCATCACAAGGGTTTTCAAACCCACATCTCCTACATCCCAGAAGAATGCCACAACTACTTCAGAATAAAGGTTTTCTGGAGTCATCCATATTCTACTTCACTTGTTTAACTACTCAAGTAATAGCAATAATCAGTATTACTATTCAAGGTTCATTTGGCCAGAGAACCAGTGGAAGAAAGAGCGTAATTCTGAAGCTGTGTGATGAGGGCACTCATCTGGGAAGGATTCTGATAGTTTTTGCAAGGACTGCTTATGCATTTTTGAATGACTCTTAATATAACATGCTCTCACTGTGGCTCCCTTTCTTTCATCCAATGAATCCTGATTTTATTTTATTTTTTTCTTAATAGTACCATTGTTTTAGCAGGAGTTAACATGCCCTTTGCTTTAGAATAGTAGTTATCGAGGAGTCTGTGGTCATCTTTGGAGCTGTGGGAAATGTATGTTTGAACCTCCTCTGGCTGAGAGGTGTGGAGAGCCTAGTTCTCCTGTATCTTTGAAGCCATGTAAAACCAGGCATCTCTTCTAGTTTCCTTTCTTTAAAAAACCAGAACAAAACCCCAACAAAAAAATCCAAAAACAAACCAACAAAGATGGAGGCAGGGTGATTAAAGCAGGGGCATGGGTCAGCCAATGTGATGGTGCATTGAAGATTTTGATGCTTGAATTCACTTTGATTTAGACATTTCTGGGTCACCCAAAGTGAAGTGTTTGTGTCTCTCACACCCAAAAAACACAGAAGAACCTCTTCTTTTCTGGATTTCTTTTTACTGGCTCGCATGGTTCCCTGCAGATAGCACTCGTATTGCAAATCCCATTTTAAGATACTTAGCTTTCTTTGTACACTGTGTATGGTGCTTAGGCATCTAACTTCCAGGCCCTGGGTATCAAAATAAGTAAGTCTCTGTGGCAATTCCTTAATTGGTGAATGCAGGAATATCCCAGGATTTGGAGGTGTTTGTTCCTGCCTTCATCACATAGCTGTCTCCTCCCTCTGGCATGTGGGTTCCCACGGGCCAAAAACAGTGCTGAGGCATGCTCAGACCAGTTTTCCAATTTAAATGAGGAAAGGGCCAGGGCTGTTAAGACATGAAATGGTGCGTCCTCACTGCTCTGTGTAGGTGCAGTCTTACTGAGGAAGGCCCTCAGTTTCCAAACTACTTATCTTTCCATTTTCTTGTAAAGCTTATTGCTGGATAATGATACTAACTTTTTTCTCAAACCTCCAATCTCAAATTACTGTTGAAATGCATGTGATTTAAAAAAAAAAAAAAACAAGACTAGCTTAGAGTTATATAGATGTAATACTGTAAAAATAATAGTAATAAATAATTTTATACTGACAAGAATATTTTAAAAAAATTCGCAGCCTAAAATTCTACATTTTTCAATGTGTAAAATTTCTCAAATAGTTCATACTTAATCTAGTGAACTACCATTATATTAAAAGCAAAAAAAGGTATTAATTTGTAGAAGATACAAAAGCATCTAAAATGTGTTTTTATTCCAGAGAAGAGGGAGGTAGAAAAAAAAAAAAAAAAGAAAATTGGTGGGTACTGTTTTGTGTGCAATTCCCAAGTATATTTTAAAAACAACATTGAATTTTTATAGCCAAATTATATTTTCTGCTAACAGGGAGTTGGGGAGGGATGAATAATAGAATGATTGACAAATCTTTTAGGGCCTGATTTTACAAGATGCTGCGCACCTCCCGATTGCTGCCAATCACTTTCATTTTCTTTCAGTCGATCCAAGAACATATGGCATTATTCAGATGGTGCTGAGCACCTTCAATCACAGTCCTCATAATGCCACAACATCCTCATTCTGTGCAAATGTGAGAATTGCTGTTGACATTTTAAATTGGAGGGTTATTTGGTCTTTGTCTGGACAAACTCCCAGCTGATATAAGTGGATGTTCTGCCTAAGGAAGGATTGCAACAGTAAACAATAAATAATCAATTTTATAAGCCCTGTTGTATATATGCAAACTATGTGTCGTATCAATTCGGTTCATAAAATTCTTTACCTCTTCCACTTTTATTTGATGGGGGAAAAAAAATACCGTTCTTGTGGAGAACTGAAGTTTAGTTTACTCTCAGTGCAAATTTTGAAAAGTGGAAACTCTGGATGTTATGTGCATAAGGCAGTTGATTTAAAGAGATCAGAAAGGTGTTTAATTTGAAAAGAAAAGAAAATCAATTTCAACATACTGATTTGTCCTGCATTACAGTTACCTGTAGAGAACCTCTAGTCATGTCTATCTGTTTTTGATGCCTCTACAGAATAACTGTCCAGCATCCTCTGCCCAACCAATCAGAATGTAGGAAAATCTACCGATATGACGGAATCTACTGTGAATCTACCTACCAGAAGTATGTTGAAATCTGTGTGAGTCTTGCCTCTAGCTCGTGCATTTAGTGCTCGTGCTCTCCCGCTATTCAGAAATTACACGCGTGTTGAAACCGTACACTTCTTGCGTGCAAAACCTCTACAGCAGGGACAGAAATATGTTGTTTAATTCTTTGGGATTGTGCTCTAAAAGCTAAAAAGCAAATAAAAACCCCTATGACTTTAGTAAATCTCTTAGATATGCTTCTTTACAGTGCAATAAACAAGGATGTATACACTAGAAAATCTAGGCAAAATGTATTGCACAGGTGCTTCACATCTTAGGGATTTGAAAGGTGTGTTATGTATAAATTAGCTGTCACTTTTTTTCAGTCGTGTAATGGAATGATGAGTTGTAATTTGCATAATCCTTTAAGAAGTCAAATTATACTGTCATGTAGCAGACTTAACATGCTAGCTAGGATTTCATAGCTTTGCAGCTAATTAGTATGTACCTTACAGGACAGTTAAATTGAAGTTGAGTCCTCTTGCTTTGCAGTCATTTGCCTTTGTCCGTTGCCCTAACAGAGCCCGCTTTTGTGCGTACCTCAAGATCGTTACTGGTGCTTCTGACAAAAGTGCTATTGCCGTGGGCAGGCAAATGCAACGTGCTTGACTTCTGTTAGTTTTGCAAGTGAAGTTTCTATTTTGCTGTAGTAAGGATTTAATAATCTAATTTCTACATGGAATTGAAAAGTATATATTTGACAGGTATACAGTAGATTATTTTGTATTAATATATTGCAAATGCATTGTGAATCTTCTGTTATCTTGCTGGATTTTGAAACTGCTTTCTGTCGCTTACTTTTCACACTCCAACTATATTCTTGTTTTGTATCAGACTGTTATCATTATCATCTTGTATATAACAGAATCATTTTCCAAAACCCCCTTAACTTCTAAAAATTAACTGTACTCTGCATTGCAACATGTTTCTTTGGCAAGGCAGTCATAAATTTTTAGGTCATATTCTCTCATCCCCTCTTTTTATTCCATAACCTGCTGCTTGTTTCCCGAATCTTTTACTGATGTGGTTGTACCTATTACTAAAAGAAAAGCTGTTACTTCAGTGTAAATGAAGAGTATCATTTTGGTTTACAGAAGTGAGAGGAAAAGAGAAATCTATATTTATCAATATAATTACAGCATCAATGTAACTTGGTGAGCCAAAATGAAAATCTGACCTCTTGCTTGGCTTTTTTGTGAATGGTTACTTTTGATGTGATATATGATTTACTTATGATTTTACACTGACTTATAAATATTTCTTGCACTTTCTGATTTATTTTTTTAATGGTTTTCCCTTCTCCTTCCAAATAATGGCAGTGTCCAGGGTGACTGAAGCAGTCTAGATCTAGCATGGTTTTAAAAGTCACCATAGAACTTAACTTCAGTGGTTTTACTTTTCTTGTAACTTAAGTTCAGTAAATGTAAAAATGTATTCATTTGTTTAAATGTATGAAGCAGATTTGTTGTGCGCTATTTATATCAGTTGTTAGAACAACTTCAAGACTTTGAAACTTTTTGGAAATAAGAAAACTTGGCACAGTTTGTCAGGACTGTTTTATACAATGATGGCTTCACTGAACGCTGCAAAATAGTTGATTATTCTAATTTTTTTAATTAGGTAGAATTTATAGTCGGTATAGTTTAAAACAGCTAGCTGTGCTGACCACAAAATAGAATAGTAGATGTTCACTGACAAGTAGGTATACAATTGCAAATAGGCATTAGCAAAACAGCTTTTCAAACAAGGCAAAATCAAAAAATCAGACTGGTGATCAAAGTGTTTGGTTTGACATCTGTTTTGTCATACCTGAAATTTGAATTTTGAAGTATTATAGCCCAGTTCACTTATAAAAAACATGGGTTATTTTGGAAAACTAATGGCTATGTCTTTCTACAGAAAATATGGAGTGCTTTTTGATTAGTGAAACTCTCTCTGTGCTTCTTCCACATTATTTAAGATGTCTGAGGTGTTCTTTCTGTCTTCTTCCCAATGGATGTTTTTACTTTCCCCCCCCCAGTAACTTATTTCCAATGGTGTAACAACCAGTTACTAAAAACTTTACTAATTGAGACCAAAAAAAACCAAACATCAAGCTATTTCCATGACACTTTTAGAGTTTAGCGCTACAAGACGTGAACATTTGGTACTAGGTGTTCATGTGCATCTCTCATGCAGACTCAGTCTCTGCCCCGATTAGACTGGGGAAAGGAGAATGGATGTAAAAAGGGCACTGGTGGTCAACAGAAAAGGGCTATGTAACCCTCCTTTTTCTGTAGGATTAATTTCTGGGCTGGACACAAACCAGCAAACTACTTACTCTGAGAGTTAAAGGAATTTTAAGGACTGGCCATACAGTGTAGGACAGGACAGAAAATCGTGGATTGGGAGCTTGACTGTTTTTTCTCCAACCCGTTTTAAAATTAAAAGAAGTATTATGCAGAGATCCTACTCTGGATTTATGCTTAACTGTGTACCTACTAAAGGTATTTTGTGTAAAGCTACTTAGCAGTTGAAATAGAGATATTCTGATCCTTTTTGTAAAAATTTGAAAGGCTCATACCATGACCTTCTACTGCATAAATACTTCCCAGAAGACATTTGTGGAAGTAACCTTTTTAGTCAAATCTTAGTGGTAATACATACTACAAATAATGGTTTGTAAGAGTTCTTAAAGTTGTAGATCAGTAAATACATTACAGTACTATAAAACCAAAAAATTACAAAAAGCTTTTTGCAACACAGGTTCCTGAGGAGCTGGACTAATGATTACATTAGCTAATATATATAAAATAGGCAAAATAGTAAATATTTTAATACAGATCCCTCTAGGTTGTTTATGATCCTCATGCAATCAGGTCTCATAGATGCCACTAGATATCCAGCTCAGAACAGACTGGAACACTGTTGTGTTGTGGTTTGTTTTTTTTTTTTCCCCTTGGTTGCCATGGGTCTGTGTTGTTTTAGGTGGCTGAACATGTAAATATGCTTTTCAAAAAAGCTCTAAAATAAGCTTGAAAATAATTACAAATTGTTTCTGTGTTCACTAGCAGTAAAGACTAACACACCAAGCATTCTTAAAAGAATTTACCATTATGGGTTTTGAAGTGGATGACATGTCTTGAGCTATGGAGGTAAAACCAGAGGCCTGCCAGTTACTGGCCTGGAATACACCTGTCCATCAATTCCTGAATATTTCCCCTTTTCTTTTCCTGTCCCTGCAGCTGTAGCTGGTAAGGTCCAGACTCTTCTTTTGTGATGTCAAACAAAACTAACAACTAAAAGAAGTATTTCTTATTCAGTTTTAGCTACTTCGCTGTAACCAAACTGCCAAGGTTTTTCCCTCTTGCCCATGTTGAAAATCCTTTCTTCTGCTTGCTCAGACACCTATGGTTTTGCACTCTTGTTCGTCTTTATGGAGTGTCAAACACTGAACAAAGCCCGGGTGGATGATCTCCAGAGATAGCCCAAGAGGAGCACAGCTCCCTGCCCATGCTCCATTTTCATTTGTTGCTGAATTACAAGGAGTAATGGTGTGTCAAGAATAGGGTTTTTTTCCTTGCTTGTCTGCAGGGAGTCTCTGTTGTGTATAAGCAGAGGATATGTCAGGGTGTTTTTCTTCTCAGCTTGGAAGTTATTCCATTCATGAAGTGGCCCTTCAGAGTTATCACCTGGGTTGTGAGGGAAAATTCTCAGTTTGGTGGCTGTTGTGTGCCATCTCCAAAGCAAGGGTGGAAGAATCATCTCTTCCTCATTTCTTCCTGTCCATATTAAGCAGACTTAAAGGTCAAGCCTCTCTTCAGGAGCATAGACAATAAGGAAGAGTTCTACTGTAAGGTATTTCTTCTGAGATACAGAGCATAGAATAAATAGTAAGAAAAACACCTTGCTCGTTTAAATCCCAGAAATATAACAATGGTCTTATTAGCTTTTTCCTTCATTTCTCTGCAAGTTAGTTAAATGAGTACAGAAGAGAAGGTTCATTGATTTCAGTCTAAGAAGTAGATCAATTTGTCCTGGAAAGTGTAGCTTGGTCATATAAACATTATCATAGCATCATTTAGGTTGGAAAGGACCTTTTAATATCATCCAGTCAAACCATTAACACTGCCAAGTCCACCACTAAACCGTATCTACACTTTTTAAATACCTCCAGAGATGGTGACTCCACCACTTCCCTAGGTAACCTGTTCCAATGTTTGACAACACTTTCAATGAAGAAATATTTCCTAATATCAAATCTAAACCTTCCCTGGTACAACTTGAGGCTGTATCCTCTAGCCCTATTGCCTGTTTCTTAGGAGAAGAGACTGCCTCTTACCTTGCTACAACCTCCTTTCAGGTAGCCGTAGAGAGTGATAAGGTCTCCCCTCAGCCTACTTTTCCCCAGGCTAAACAACCCCAGTTATGGCCACCTTGGCCACCTGGGAACACTGCTGGCTCATATTCATCCAGCTGCCTACCAACATCCCCAGATCCTTTTCTGCCAGGCAGCTTTCCAGCCACTCTTCCCCAAGCCTGTAGCATTGCATGGGGTTGTTGTGACCCAAGTGCAGGACCCAACACTTGGCCTTGTTGAATCTCATACCATTGGCCTCAGCCCATCGATCCAGCCTGTCCAGATCCCTCTCTAGGGTCTTCCTACCCTCAAGCAGATCAACACTCCTGCCCAACTTGGTGTCATTAGCAAACTTACTGAGAGTGCACTCGATCCCCTTGTCCAGGTTGCCGATAAGGATACTAAACAGAACTGGCCCCAATACTGACTCTTAGGGAACACTGCTTGTGACCGGCCACCAACTGGATTTAACTCCATTCATTGCAACTCATGGCCTTGGACATCCAGCCAGGTTTTTACCCAGCAAAGCCTATGCCTGTCTGAGCCATGAGCAGCCAGTTTCTCCAGGAGAATGCTGTGGGAAATGGTGTCAAAAGCTTTACTGAAGTCCAGGTAGACAACATGCACAGCCTTTCCCT